GGCAGGCGGAATTCTTTACCACTGAGCCATCAGGAAAGCCTCTCTGCTTCATTAGGTACCTGTATATTTAGATATATACAGGTATACATATACCATCCACCTTGCCTTCCCAAACCCCACTAAATACATGTTACCATCTCTACTTTACATATGAGGAACTTAATGTTTTAAAAGGTCAATCACTTGCCCTGGGTTGATAGTAAAGATTTAATCCTAGTTCTGACTTATGCAAAATTTTGACTATTTCTCATTAACCTGTAAAGCTGGGATATGAATCATAAATGCCTGATATAAAAATTCAGGAGTAAAGCCAATGTATTCTGTTATGTATGTGTAAGAAAATAAGATAGAAATTATTATCTGTGGACTTCATATATCTATGCAGGCTTGGCCTCTATACTGTGGATGAGCAAGCACTGACTGTAATATATTTTTAAATGATAGCAGTAACAAATGTTCATGACACTACCTGAATAATACTGATTAAAATAATTAATTATCATAAGCCAAACTACAAATGTATTTTATCAGCTTCCTAGGCCACTGAAGCAAAGCATGTATTGTCCCCACATAGCGAAACGGTGATAGATGATCATTCCAATCACCCACTGAACTTGGTTTGAGGTTTGTTCTGTTAAATCTGTCAAGCTTTTCAACTCAGTGTGCCTCAATGCTCATTAGAAAATGTAATATAATATGAAGAACAGAAGTGAATGTGAATTCATTTGTGTTTTGGGCCTTTCTAATGTCTCATAGTGGAAAAGGAGTTTTTAATTTTATAAATTCTAATTAGATAAGAACTAAAGTTGGTTTCCCTGGTGGCCCAGAGGGTAAAGTGGCTGCCAAGAATGCGGGAGACCCAGGTTCAATCCCTGGGTCGGGAAGATCCTCTGGAGAAGGAAATGGCAACCCACTCTAGTATTTTTGCCTGGAATGTCCCATGAACGGAGAAGCCTGCTAGGCTACAGTCCATGGAGTCGCAAAGAGTCAGACACAACTGAGTGGCTTCACTTTCTTGGGCTTCCCTTGTGGCTCAGAGGGTAATGCATCTGCCTGTGGTGCGGGAGACCCAGGTTCGATCCCTGGGTCAGGAAGATCCCCTGGAGAAGGAAATGGCAACTCACTCCGGTATTCTTGCTTGGAGACTCCCATGGACAGAGGAGCCTGGTGGGCTACAGTCCATGGGGTCATGAAGAACTGGACATGACTGAGCAACTACACACACACACAAAGTTATCCCCTTTATTAGTTTTTCTAGAAATGGTATGTTTTTCTTTCTTAGTATTTTACAATATACAAACCGTCATACTAAAGTCTGTTATTTTTATTAGTCAGTCTATTAATATTCATTCAAAATTAGGAAATACAAATATAAATATGTGAGACCTCAGACCCATTTAGTAGACGTGATAAGATGTCTACACAGGTAGCTACACCACTGGGCTTCCCTTGCCGCTCAGGCCGTAAAGCATCTGCCTGCAGTGTAGGAGATGTGGGTTCTATCCCTGGGTCAGGAAGATCCCCTGGAGAGAGAAATGGCAACCCACTCTACTATCCTTGCCTGGAAAACCCCATGGACAGAGGAGCCTGGAGGGCTACATCCATGGGGTCACAAAGAGCTGGACACAGCTGAGCAACTAACACTTTCATTTTTGTTCACACCGTTAACCCTAGAAATCCTTGTATAGAATTAGCAACCTGATTATGAAGACACATAAGTTAAAAAAATACGTTTTTCTTTTTTTCTTCCATCATTTAATTAATCTCATTTTTCTTGGAGATGCTGGGGAGCACCTTTCACTATGCAGGAGCCCTTATTAAAACAAAGAACTGCTAATTTCTCAAGTGATTGAAGGTATGTCAATATAGCTAATGCTGATAATTCAAGTAAGGTTTAGTGTTTTTAAAAATTCGATTATTTTAGGTCAACAGAGAAGTACATCTAACACACGTATGCTAGTCTCAGAATATGAAATACTGCTTAAATGTTTGTTCTGGAGCCAAATGTAGGAAAGTTTGGGCAAGTCATGGAATAATAACTAAGTTTACCTCAAGAATATCTCATCTCCACGTGGTAATGATTGTTACAGGCATAGGGGGAAATTTGCATATATATCTAAGAAACTGAAGGGACATCCAGACAGCTGTGAATTTTGAAGAAAGTGTTTATCTTCTTCATAGAACAAGGAAGTAAATGTAAGTTTAATTTTTTTGCAAAAACACTAACTGCCTATTCCTGGTGTCCGTCATGACTTCTAACAAAACCTCAAGCTTGATCAATGTTTGTCTGAATGTGTGTTCTCATGAAGGCACTATAAATCGACTGTGGAGAAGTAGGGGTTTCTCTGGAGTCCAGGAAGCCTTGTTGTGTTGTTTGGCAGTTGCTTCTGCACCATGAATGTAACACTTGAAGCGACTTTTGCCGCTTTCCTAGAAGGCAGGGGGAGATGGTGTTCAGTGGGTCTGCTGGTTGAGCAGGCCAAAGTAAACTTTGTTGTAAGCGCTGTCTCGTGGTAGAATACATTCTTTGGCCAAGCATGTCGTTCAGTTTTCAGACATAATTTAGCTGCTTTGGGATGTGAGGACCGGGGAGGAATTTTGCTCTTGCTTGCTGGAGTAGGCCTTGTGAATAAGTTGGTGGGGGGAAGATTGCTGTGAGCAATCTGTTGCTAAGAGCTGGAGAGAATTGAAATGTTAGTCTGCTCAGTTGGCGCTATCTGTATGCAGTCTGTTGTGGGCCTCGCGTGACGGCTACCTGCAGACTGACATTCAGTAAGCCAGCAGCCTCCAGTGTACCTTCTGACTGCTTGCAACCATAAGGCAAATGCTTAATCAGTAGCTTTTGAGAAAGCGCACGATTAATAAACCCATAAAGTTCTCTTCTCTGATTAAAGCAGCAACTCTGTGGCAAAATCTATTAGAATTTAGTTAGAGACCATTATAGGGAAGAAAATAAATTTTTAAGGGGCAGATTTGTAGGTACTCTAGGAAAACAGATTTGGCTGGGTTTGTCGTGTCTCCCAGCTGTGCGAATTAAATAGGAGTCTGGGGACATGTTAAATTTAGTGCAGGACATCATTACATGACAGCAGGGAAAAATACAGTAACTGAAAGTCTACAACTTTCTTCCACTAAATGCACATTGATTTTCAAAGGCCAGAGAGTGATTCTTCAGGCCCTGAGCTACTGTACGCTTATGGGGAAGACTAGATGCAGCCACATTTCAGAGCACACTTCATTTTTTTTTTTTTTTTAGTTTTTATTTTTAAATCTTTTCCCACAAGTCTAGCTCATTAGAGCAGAGAGGCTTTAATGAGATAATGGGCATAAAAGTCATCTGGAAACTTAAACAACTCCATTTAGTTGTCATTCGGCCTTAACTGAACTCGGTTTTCATTTTATGTAAGTTTTTACAGATGCAGGACATCAAGTAAAAATTAAGATAAATGTTTTCTTCTCCAGACTTGCACACTACAGTATACATTTTCAAAAAGTAGTTCAGCCAAACTGTTAAAGGAGGGGAGACCCCTTCAAGGGCCCGAGAGTGAGCTCTTGTCTAACCCGCAGAAATAAATTGTCTGAGGAGACATGTCCTGGTAAAGCAAGAGACTTTATTGGGAAGGAGTGCCAGGTGGAGAGCAGCAGAGCAAGGGGACCCAGGAGAACTTCTCCTGCTATGTGGCTTGCAGTCTCGGATTTTGTGGTAATGGGGTTAGTTCCTGGCCAGTCATTCTGACTCACGGTCCTTCCTGGTCGCTGGTGCCTTGCTCAGCCAAGATGGATTCCAGCAAGAAGGATTCTGGGAGGTTGGTAGGACATACGGACTGGCATCTCCTCCTCTCCTTTTGACATTTCCTGAGTTCTTCTGGTTGATGGTAACCTGTTAGCTCTGTGTTCCTTATCAGGACCTCTTGTGGTAAGATAGCTCAAGCAAGTGGTTACCGTGGCCAGGGCAGATGGTTTCAGTCAGTGGCTCCCCTAACAAAACTAGTGGTTACCTGTGGTGAGAGGCGGGTAAGGAGAAATATAGTGGTGGGTGAGTGGGAGATACAAACTATTGGTGTAAGAGGGGCTGCAAGGGTGTATTGTACAACACAGGGAATGTACTAGTTCATCTACAAATTGCCAGCAACAGAGCTTTTTTTTATTTAGTTCTTCTTTTTTAAAAAATTATAATTTTTCCCCCCCTAAGAGAATCTAGTAAGTCCTGACATTCTTAAGAGAGAATTCTTAGATACATTTTTTAAAATAATAGTAGATTAGTGCATTGATTCTCACTTTAAAATTTCTTGCTTTTTGTTTATTTACTTACTCCTTTAGTCTATAAATGTTTATTGATCATGTATAATGTACAAGTTCACATGAAGTGCTGACAGGGATACAAAACTAGTAATACCACTAACTCCATCACTATGACAACTGCTGCTAATAACAGATCTCTTACAAAAATCAAGCACTTCAATGAAGAAACACTGCTTCAACTTGTTTACTATAAAAGAGTCAAAAATAGTGTTTGGGGATGGCAGTCATTATGCAAAAGACAAGCTATTTCCAGTAGAGTATTTTTATTATTTAAGAAGGAAAGCCCTTCCATTCCCCTCCATCTTGGCATCCTTACACTAGAAAGTCTCAGATGACTGTGTAGGACTAGTCTGACAAAATGAGAAGCCATACTGTTCGCACACAGAGTCGTGAATGTCATGGGCATACATCTCCCTTGATGATTTTCTATGGATCCAAATGTAAGCTTATCTTTGATCATTGCATCAGTATGGTGCATGTATACTTGTGTACATGCTGTGTTTCTGCATGAAAGATGACTCGTATATCAGATTCATTTTCATTATAATTCTCCTCGGGTGGTGAGTGTGAGTGGAGTGGGCACACTTTTGTCTGACTGAAAGCATCTGTAGTTTATTTTCCATGGTGGTGTTCTCTGTTTCTTCACTCAGACTTACGCCTTGGAGAGCACTGCCCAATCCTGCTGTTTTCCTTTCTAGGCAACTTTCATCTCAGCTGCCATCAGGGCTGTCTTTTCACCACTCTCTGGAATTCTCTGGGCCAGAGGCTGCTACATATGCTCGGCTGAAATAAAGCCGCCTTAAACCCCTGTCCTGGCTGTAGATATGGGTGGTTACAAGATTCCACTCATGGGTATGATTATGTTACAGACGTGGGATGACTTATCAGTGTGTGATTTTATCTTACCATTTCTATTATGAAAACACAGCCTAAGTCAGTTTATGTCCTAGCTTTACTCTATGGACCTTCAGTGTTCAGTACTCATCTGTGAAGATTCCCTGAAGCCAATGTGATAATGTTAGGGAAAACACTGACTGAACACCAACCCTGGCCAGGCCAGATAGTAGCCACTTGCATGAGCTATCTTACAACAGCGGGTCCTATTAAGGAATGCAGAAGAACCTCCCACCAACCGGAAGAGTTCGGGAAAGGTCCAAAGGAGAGAAAGGACATCAGTCGGTGTGTCCTACCACCTCCCAGAATCCTTCTAGCTGGAATCTATCTTGATTAAGGGTTGCATTCACCACCAGGAAGGACCCTGAGTCCAAATGATTGGCCAGAGACAACCCGGAAACTAACCGCATCACCAAAAAACCTGGGACTCGAAGCCAGAGCTGTTCTCCTGGGTCCCGTTACCCTGCTGCTCTCCATCCAGTTGCCCCTTCCCAATAAAGTCTCTTGCTTTGTCAGCACATGTGTCTCCTCGGACAATTCATTTCCAAGTGTTAGACAAGAGCCCAGTTTTGGGCCCTGGAAGGGGTCCCCCTTCTTGCAACAATAATTGTGGAGATATTTAATCCCTTTTTTTTTTCTCCCGCAAGGGGTAGAGTGAGAGAGGTTATGAGAAACAATGGCCACCTATTTGATAAGTACAGAGTCAATGCTCAGGAATACCTGTAGTCTGTAAATGCCTAAAATCAATCAAAATTTACTGAGATGCCATAGAAGGGTTCAGCTGACATAGGAATTTCAAGTGCACATTAGCATTCTGACCGGAGAGCTAGGAAGGACCTTACAAGAGGTCTCAAGTGGTATCAGCTCAACACTACTGGACCTTGTTCTCTGAGATTCATAGGCTGAAGCAGGGAATGGACAACAGGAACAGTCCACACAGCAGGTGTAATAATGAATCAGGATGTGAATACCTTTGAGATTAAGATTCAATTCAGTGGCTCTCCCGACCTTGGCAACCAAATTAATTCACCCAATATGTGTGTTTTAAATATCTTCATTGGGTAAAGATCTCTGTGCTCCAGGAAAGTACATAATATGAGAAAAATACAATTCCTGTTTTCTAGGCCAGTGCCATCACTGGAAAGATAATGTTAGCCACATATGTAATTTTAAATTTTCTAATAGTCACATTTTAAAAAGTAAAAAAGAAAGAGGCCAAGTTGATTTTTCTAATTTTGTAATTTAAAGGAAAGGGAAGGGCTTTCCTGGAAATCCAGTGATTAAGAATCTGCCTTGCAAAGCAGGGGACTCTGGTTCCGTAACTGGTCTGGAAAGATCCCGCATGCCTTGGGGCGACTAAGCGTGTGCAGCACTGCTGCTGAGCCTGTGCGCTAGAGCTCCCTAGCCTTGTGACTGCTGAAGCCGGTGTGCCCTGGAGCGCATGCTCCGCAACAAGAAAGGCCACAGCAGTGAGAAGCTGGCGCACCACAACTAGAAAGTGGCCCCCATTTGCCACAATTAGAGAAAACCCACACAGAGCAACAAGACCCAGTGCCACCAAAAGTAAAATAACTTAATTAATTTTAAAAATAAAGGAAAGGGTGACCTCATATTCTCATAAACATGTTATAAAAATAATTGAAATGCCACATCTTATATTTTCCCATTATATGTTGGTATTTACTTATCTCTTGCTGATAGTAAATTATATTTACAAATTGTTCTTGTTTAAGTAAATTTTTTTAGTGAGATAGAAGGCAAACGTTTATTTTAATCATGTTTTTAAACCAAGTATACGCCAGTTATTTCAATATGTAATCAATATAAATTGTTAATGAAAGGTTTGCATTCTTTTTTCATATTGTTTTCTAAAGCTGCTGTGTAGTTTACATTTTCAATGCATCTCAAACTGAGACAAGCTACATGTAGTTCCTGGACAGCAGGATTCTACACACTGAAGAATCCATTTGGTTTGAAAGGTGATAAAATCTGTTTACATGGTGGTAAAAATAAAATCTTGCAACCAAGTGGGATTTTCATAATATTTTCACATTCATCATTTACTGAATCAATTAGGGTAATGTTTTCAAAAGTGTGGTCTGAGAATTGTGGCTGTTCCTATAAGGCATTTTGCAGAGAGTGATGTGTGATTTATTGTGGTTCAGTCATTCAGTGATGTCTGAGTCTTTGCAACCCCGTGGACTGCAGCACATCAGGCTTCACTGTCTCCTGGAGCTTGCTCAAACTCATGTCCAGTTAAGTCAATGATGTCATCCAACCATTTCATCCTCTGTTGGCCACTTCTTCTGCCCTTAATCTTTCCCAGCAGCCAGGTCTTTTCCAATGAGTTGACTCTTCACATCAGGTGGCCAAAGTATTGATGCTTCAGCTTCAGCATCAGGCCTTTTTATAAATCAGTGTGATTTATAGGATCAGAATATTAAATATTCTGGATAAAATATTCTGGGTAAAAATATTCTGAATCAGAATATTCTGGATTTATAGGATCAGAATAATCTGGGTTAAAATATTCTGGTTAAATATTCCGGGTTAAACAAAGTTTCTTCTGCTTCTCTGCCTCAGATGTGCTGATGTACAGTGTAGATTTCTGAGAAGAGAATGTATGTATGATATTTCCTATTCTTAATTGATCATGAAATTGTTTTTTCACAGAACATCTCTTGGGTCTAGTGTTACAAGAAACAACTGTGGAAAATGCTGATTTAAGCCCAAACTAAGGGGTGTAGGAATTTGGAAATCTGAAAGAGGCAAAATAGAGAAGCCTTCCTGAGGATGTGGGTGTACCTTAGGTTCATCCTTCTCCAGAGTGTCCAGCAGCATATCTACTATAGCATTTGGCCCATTTTGCAGTTGGTGGTCTCCTGCAAATGTTTTTATGTTCCTTAGAGGAAAAGGGAGAGAGAGAGCCTTATTCACGTCTTGATCCCACCCTGAACAAAGCAAAATTACCAGTATTTGTGGGACTGAATTAAATAGAAACTTAGTAGAGACCAATGCAGAATAGAGCCCTTAAAGAGAAATGAACTTTATAGCCCAAGGGGAGAGACAGAGCACACCACCAAGTTGAGGTTAATGAGGAAATGACGGCGAGAGACAGTTGTTCCTCGGAAACGCCTCCCAGCTCCTGGCAGGCAGTCCATGTCAGGGTCTTTCACAGGAGAACATTCACATTCCAGGCAATCAGAGAACAGGAGAGGGCAAGAAAAACAGTGAACAAAACTTAGATCAGGCCAGGCAGGGAATCACACACCAGAATTTAACAAACAAAAACCTGCCTTCTCTGTAACACGTGTGGGAGTTTCTGCCTTTACCAGATAGAGCTTTAGTTTTTTGAGAAAATGAGATCTGAGACAAATGTGTCAGATGGGGAGGTCAAGAATCAGAACTTGAGGAAGGAACTCTGGAAAATATACTCTTCTACCCCAAGAAGCACATGATTTACTGAAATCAAATGTTTTGAGATGAAAGTCCAGGAAATTGCCTTCCTCACAGCTTTTTGTTGATTTCCTCACCTGTACATGTGGGAGAATGGGCTTCTGCTACAACCTGGTAAACTCTCTAGGAATCTAATTTCTGAATCCACTTTAGAGACACAGTCCTTCACAGACGAAGACAGAAAGCAGAAAGTAGGACAGAAGACAGAAGGCAAAAAGCCCCTGCTTCATCTTTGATTCTGCCTTTGCCCTTCACCTAACCTGCAGCCTGTGTGTTTTCTTGTTTAAAAAACCCTGGTTTCAGAAATGGACTTCCTCCTGAGCCTAAACACAAGAGGAAGATTCCCACTGCCTCCCACCACTGACAACAGTATTTGCAGGTTAGAGAGAACAAAAATGTGAAATGAAAAAGGGTATGCTGAAGAACTTGGGATGTAGTCTAAAGAAATGAAAACTGTCCATAGCTGTCATGATAGACTCTTCCCAGAGCTCCTGGGCACATCTCAGGGGATACGTTTTCCATTCTAGACTTAGACATCAAAAAGAAAAGACAGTTTCTTAATTCTGCTCCCAGAAATCCTCTCCAGGGCATTACCTTTGACCTGGCTTCCCATCACCAGCCCATACTCTTTGAGCTTGTCCTTCCAAAGTTTTGACCATTCAAAGAATGCACCAGGCTGCAGATCAAAGGACTCTTCTGGCTTACACTTGACTGCTAGCATGCCTGTGTTGTGCCCCTGCTGGAATTAGCATTGGTGTCTTCAGAGGAGCCAGCCGCAAGCATAGGGCAGCCAGTCACTGGAGACACGAGGAAGTGGTGAGGCTATCATGAGCCTGGTGTAAAGCTGAGCTCCCCACTTCCCAGTGAGAGACAGTGCTGCCATGCCTGGCTGGGAGGCTGCGAAGGAAGGAATTCTAAGCCTGCGAGAGCTGTAGGGCATCATTTGGAGGAAGAGTCTCCTATGCAGAAACTATCCTCATTGTTATGATCATGATCACAACAGGACAGTTGTTTAAAAAAAAAAAAAAAATAACTTCCTAGAGATTTATTTTTCTCCAGTTCTGCTCCAGAATTATCAAAACACATTGGTGGTGGTTTAGTTGCTAAGTTGTGTCCAACCTGCGACCCCATGGACTGCAGCCTGCCAGGCTCCTCTGTCCATGGGATTCTCCAGGCAAGAATACTGGAGTGGGTTGCCATTTCCTCCTCCAGATTAATGGTGTATTAACTCATTTGGCCCTCCTGGTAAAGGAAACAAGGTTGGGAGCCACCACAATAATGAAAACTTGAGAACAGAGTAAGTCCTGTTTACTTACTGGGCCTGCAGTCCCTAACAGAGCTCCTGGCATGTAGTGGGCAGTCAATAAATATTTATTGAGTGTATCAATGGATACCCATTTCCAAGTGGACAGCCTGATTTGGAAATAGTTAATGATCTTGCCAGTAACAACAAAGCTATTAAGTAGCTGAATTGGTGCTGTAAGCCAGGTCTTCTGACATATTTTCCAAAGCACCTCCAGTAAGGCTTGTGAACTTGGTTTCCAAAACAATCTTGACGCAAAATACGTTGATTACATTTTTTTTTCTAGAATTTTTCCTCCATTGAGTTTAGGCTTTTGTTAATTTCTGAAAACAGTTGATCCTTTTTTTTTTTTTAATTCCGTTGGTCTTTTTTTAAGACACACTGACGTATAGCCCATCATAAATAAAGATGACACATCTGGCCCACCAGCGGAGGACATGATCCATCCACTCCAAATCTTTTCCACTCTTCTCAAAGCTTTCATCCCAATGCCCTAAGTCTGAACAGATCATTAACAAGATCAAAGTCAGCTGGTATGAACTGACAATATCTCCAAGTTCTTCTACACCTTCACAGATTCCTCCTCTCTCAAAGGCTAACCTCTCATCGCCCTCACACCTCACCACCTCCTGTCCCCTGGAAGCCTTGCTCCATCGATTCATTACCCTTCAGACTCGTCCTTTGCAGTACTTCCTTCCTCTCTGTCAGCAAACATACAAGTC